GATTGGTAGGTAGTCAACGCTGTTCATAAATTCCGACCGCGAGGGTTCCAATCCATGAGAACTGCCTAGGGCCGCGTTCATACTTTGCAGCTCAGAAGGATAGGAGAGACGAGTCAACGTGTTGGGAGAAGGCGCACGAAAGGAGCAGATGGAAGTAGATCAACTCCGGTCGCTAGCGCGCTTTCTCCCGAATCCTCAAATTTCTTGTGCTTCCAAGTCGCTATAGTATACATGACATGAACGCAGTCTCACAGACTTACGACAAAACATGACAAAACAATTCAATTGCTCCGTAATGTCTATAAGATCTGGGACTTTGTCATACAGTGGACCCGCAACGGACTCGTATTAACACTGTAAGACGAAGAGAAAGAAGTTCAGATTTAATGATCAAGCCTTTCCGGAAACTCACAATCCACATGAATATCAAAAATCCAATAATTGTCAGTGTTCATCCGCAAAGATCTTCGACCTAGCAGTTTCTTCGTGTAGTACCAATATTTTTATAACTGAATTATACTGAACTGAATAGGTCGCCTGCTAAATAAAAGGCTTTTCTAACAAGCAGGGCGGAGATATGCAGCTCACACGTGAGGTTGTGAACGAAATCCAAAAGTACTCAATAACGAGAACGAGAAAAAGCTGGTGGGACGAGAAAAAATTCCATAAAACTGCACATACATGCTGAAATCGGCGAACACTTTTGAAAGAGGAAATTTATGCAAAAACACCATGAAAATCCCGCGGCTTCCATGCTGGAACCCTGCTGTGGACGAGAACACCCGGAAAACTCGTCCGAATCGGTGCCACCGATTCAGTGGAGCGATGTATAGCCGGCTTATGGATGCATGGTCTGTGGTACTCCTTGTATTTATTAATGCCCTTAGGGGTTGTTTATTGCTTTTTTGGGCATTTACTGTGAAAGATTTCTTCAGAAAAGTGGTGGTGGACAAACTGTTCGCTCATATGTTATGAAGTTCGTTGAATATTAAATTCAACATAATCTGGAATACTTCTATGTATACGCTCTCAGCTGGTTTATGGGAAAAGTTTTTCAAAAAGAGGGATTATTATGTGGTCATTGTTGGTCTAGATAACGTTGGGAAGACGGTAAGCTTTTGGAGCTTCTGTTTATCAAATACCGCTCAAATGTCCCAGTTTTAGACTTTTCTCGAGCAAACCAAGTCCCACTTCGTCAAGGGTTATGGTGCCCTCAACCCAGCTCGAATCACAAGTACAGTGGGCTTAAACAGTAAGTTTCTGGTATGAACGGAGAGATACTTTGCTGGTAGTTCAATATGCCGTGTCCATTGAATTCCAGTTGGTAAAGTCGAAATCAACAATACTTGTCTAAACTTCTGGGATCTCGGCGGGCAAGAAGATCTGAGAACACTTTGGGTTAATTACTATGATGAAGCGAATGCGCTAATTTTCGTGATCGATGCAACAAGAAGGGATTTGTTCGGAGAGGTTGCTAGTGTGTTCAGTAAGTGTGCTTCTGGCAAATCTCCATTTCTCCTGGGTAACCTACAGGTTTATTCGATAATGTTTTTCAGAGGAAGTAATGTCCAATGAATACGTGCGCATGTTACCAGTACTAGTTGCAGTTAACAAAAGCGAGATTGAAGGTGCTGCACCTGCTGCCGAGGTAAGAGACGAATACAATTGTGGTAAAGTGAAAATATTTCCAATGTCACAGCCACCGCCACTTAAAGTATGCAGCTACCGTACCACATCTCGCGGATGGTATCGTACGGGCCCTTGCATCTGTAGCAAAGACGTGGCCTAAGTTCCTTGATAGAACGGTTCAGATTCGCGGTCGCGACGGGGTACTCCACCGCTAACGGTGAACTGCCGCAACAACGGAGTTCAATTGGGCCGCATTCATGCACTGCTTCATTTTTCTTATATCTTTCTGTGCACGCGTGCCTAGCATTTTTTGAAACGTTCTGGGAGTGTGTTACTCATTATAGATGTGTTTTGCTATATTCCTCTTCCAGTCGTATGATTTTATATTCTTTACGGCGGTTCACAGATGGGTGGGTGAGCGCCCCCGGTAGCGATCCCTCGACTGATTAGCGCGATTCAGTCGAGCGATCACGAAGGATGAACGCGCTTTTAGATATACCACCTGTTATCCTCTTTGTTCTTCTTTATGAGCAAACTAGTCGGATCGCCCGGCTGACGCCGAGGTCTCCTCCTTCTCTTCAGCTGGATTGGCGCACTTTATAATGGTAACGGAATTTGTTCATTCACTTAGCTGCTCATACTGCGCTATTTTGATGGAATCGTAATAGATGGAGCAACCCACGCGCGAGCTCACGTCCAGCTGCTACGCGAGCTGCTTGTGCAATGGCTCGGAGTGTACTAAATGGTTGTCTTATATAGTGAGGGTATCACAATCAAAACAACATCTTAGTTTGTTATTTCATTTGGATTAGCTATAGGTTTCCGTTGTCTAGCGGTCGCATTCTCCCCTCACTAATTTGAACCCGTGAAGCATTTTGCGGACGGGCAGACATTCACACGTACAAACCGACACACAGCATTACTGGTTTATAGAATAGAAGGACGCCGGTGCCTAATCTCATTCAAATCTTCTGTCATTCAATGAAAATCCACAATGCTAAGCGGACGGAAATGTTTCTACGGTAGCAGTTTTGACTCAAGAATGAAAGCTTTCCAGCTTTGGTAGAGCATTTTCCTCACGGTCAGTTGTTACTGGCTCCTATCACTCCTTATTGGCGAACCTAGCTTTTACATGCTATTGGAAGAGTTGAGCGCGCAAACCGCCTCTTGTTCGGAAAGGTTCGATTCCGAATGCTAGCGGAGAGGAATAAGACGTGCTCACACACAGAGTTTTGGCTCTGTGATACTTAAGAAACAGATCGAAAGACTAGTGTTCTCGTCGCACTTTCCGTATAACTCCCTGAGGTCACGTTCCCACTGGGCGTTATAAGTTCACTGACGCTCTCCTTCTATGTCCCTTATGTACTCTTATCAGTCGTTATCTCTTCCTGTCGATCACCATTAAGTTTCCCGTCGCGCCCTCCTTCCCATTATCACTTCGAACTTTCTTAGGCCTGATCAGAGAGAATTATTAATTTTCGCATCACGCATATATACCATTTTCACTTTAAATCGGACACTTTTCAAACCAAATCGGACACTTTTCAAACCAAATCGGACACTTTTCAAACCAAATCGGACACTTTTCAAACAAATCGGACACTTTTCAAACCAAATCGGACACTTTTCAAACCAAATCGGACACTTTTCAAACCAAATCGGACACACCCCTACCAAGGGCAGTTGATAACTAGACCACACTAGGTACTGCTGCAAGCCCCGCCCCAACACCCCGCCCACCTTTCCAGCGCGGTCACGGTTTTCCAAAATGTTTTATGAAATCTGCTTCTTCGACTTTTCTCACTTTTGCTAGTTGCACACACACTTCAACTGAAAAGGATTGGTACCGATACAGATCTGACTCCGCCATCTTGACAAAACGAATGCTTTTACACACTAGCACACTAGGCCCCGCCCCTATGGACACGCCCACTTTCGTTTTTCGCGGACTTTTGATTTTCTTCC